TCTAGGGTTACACCATGTAAACCCTAACGTGTCATGGCTTTTCATTTCCATGACTCATGGGTTTGTAACTCCTATGGAGCATCCTATGGGTGGAACCCAACTTGATAATCCATGGAGCCTCTTAGCCCACTATACAAGTTATGGATGATTTACATAACCAACCCATATATTTAATTAGTTGTCTTTTGATCACTTAATTAATTCTTGATCAACCTAATTAAATAATATTATTAATATATTAGAACTTATAATATATTAATAAACCACAAGTGTTATTTCTCTCATTTAGTCTATCCAATTGCATGGTGCCATGCAACCCAAATGGACCATACCGGGTCGGGTCAAGTACATACAAGAAATAGTTATGGACTTAGACACCTTATCCAACAATGGGATGGTGACCGGTGGGACCCAAATTAAATTTGCCAAATGTGGTTTCAGGTTTACGGTGAGGAGATACATATATATGGGGTCTATTAATTTTTTTAAACATATAAAAACAAAACATAAATAAGAAAATTAATTAAAAAATAATTTAATAAGGACATAATAGTCTTTTTAGGTAAGATAGAGACTAAACGCACAACAAAAATAAACAGTAAGGACCATCCGAGTTAAAAAAATATGTTCGGGATGAAATGCACAGTTTCTCCCAAACCATAGGGAGCATTCATGTAATTTACTCTTACTTTTGGTTTTGTTCATATTTAGGTAACTATTTTTTTGTACACATCTAGGTAACGAACTTATTGAAAGTGTTCATATATAACCATTATGACCTGCTGTAGCTGGATGTAACATGTTACAGCAGGTCATAATGGTCATATGTGAACAGTTCCAAAAAGTTTGTTACCTAGATATGTACAAAAAAAAAGATAGTTAGCTATATGTGAATAACCCGAAAGGTTAATTACCTTAATAAGTCCTATTTAAACAAAAGATTGGATGATGTAATGGAAAGGTTTGAGACCTTTACTAAAAACTTGACCACCTAAGTTGATATCATTGAACAGACCCTTCAGGATTTAACAAAGAGGGTAAGTGGTCTGCAGAATGAAGTGAATCAGTTGAAGAACACTCTAAAACTAGTCAGGAAGGATCCTGTTATGAATCATTACAGGATCCATAGCAGGATCCTCCCTAACTAGCTTTAGAGTGTTCTTTAACTGATTCACTTCATTCTGCAAACCACTTACCCTCTCTGTTAAATCCTGAAGGGTTTGTTCAATGATATCAACTTAGGTGGCCAAGTTTTTAGTAAAGGCTAACTGAGCCTTCTAAAATTCCTAAGATGACTGAGGACCGGGGTGTCTATAGTACTTTTTGTTCAAGACAGGTAACCATCCCAGTGGGCAAGGAAGTGTCAATCTATACTGACATAAAGTTGTTCATTCCAGATGGAATGCACATTGCTATAAGTAAGACATTCTAGATATTTTAACATAATTGATATGTTTCCTATGAAAGTAACTTTTCTTTTTCTTTCTTTTTGTAGTTGATGATGTCGAAAGTATGGTGGTACTGGCATTGATGTGATAGGAGATTGCATGACTGCAGATGATGATGATGATCATCTCATTATTAAAGTTTCTAACAATGGTTCTGCTGATTTTACGTTTGCCTCAGGGAATACCAAATCTAAAACCACAAGGAATACCAGAAGCAGAAGAAGGACCGACCAGTACCAATGGAATGAAAAGTGACTTGTTTTAATAGCCAAGTGGAATGAAATGAACCAAGCAACTCCTTTTTACTGATTTCATTGTACAGTGGTGTTTAGTAATTACTTGATAGGCAGAAATATTATTAACATCTTTTTGAACTTGCAAACCAAAATTTCCACATGATTAACCGTAATACAATTGGTATGTAGTTTATAACTAAAAGCGTTCAAATTTATCAAGAGCCAACTAATTAGTGGTAATAGTAGACCCCAATCTGAAATGAACAATGATAATTAATTAGCACGTAAAGATAATTTGTGGTTTCATGATGCATAACGAAAGGCCTATGAGCAAATAAGGAGTACTAATTTAATTAGGGTGTGTTCGGCAAAACTAGCTTGTAGCGTTTTGTTAAACGCTATATGAAGTAGCATTTAGATTTCGAACGTTTTGACTAAACTAAACGTTAGAAGCTTGTAGTGCCAAACGAGACTTTTTGTTTTAAACGGAGCGTTTTGTCAAACGCTAGAAGCTAGAAGCTCTTAAACGTTTCAAAACGCTCCGTACCGAACACGTCCTTAGTTTCTTTTTATTGTAATTTTGGATTTTTTTTCCCCTCTTTGTATTCAAAAATAGGACCCCACGCCGGACAAAGTGGAATGAATATGCATATGCAACCACAAATCTTTATGGTTGTAGTTTTTTCATTGTTAACTTTAGTAGTTGCAAAACCATATGGGAATTCCAAATTTCCAAGAAATCACGATATTAGATATTCTCAATACTTACATGCAAAATTTTGTGTATATCTAATATATACTCTTGAATAAATACAAATCAGCATGAATAAATAAGTTTTTGTAAATCTACTCTTGAATTGAAAGCTGAATGACACAACTAACAGATGAGGAAGCGTCATATATTAACAGTTAGGGTATGATAATTTTATAAAATCATATCAACATGACAAATTGTAATGCGTATGTTTTGATGGCTTCAAGGAAACTTTCTTACACCGAGTACAACGATGAAAGAACTATATGCCAAAAACATCAACGTAACGACTTGAGATTCAAAGTAGAAATGAGAAGGATGCAAAATTGAGGAGTAACCTTCTAGACAAATTTGGGCCCTTACCCCTTGGTGAGTTGGTGTAATCTCCCACTGATAATCGTTCTAATTCTTTAACATGTAAACTTAACTCTTCATAAATGAACTTTGTTAGTGGGTATTGAAAAAGTTATGGCTCTTATTATCATTTTGATCTTGTTGCTCATTACCTTCATGCTTGTGGTGTACATCTTGATCATGTCCACGTGTTGTTCGAAGTATATTGAAGCATTACACACATAATATAAATAAAGACAACACACAAACAACACTACTACTACTACTATTATTATTATTATTATTATTATTATTATTATTATTATTATTATTATTATATGTAGATGTAGATTACTTCCTATCATAATATTTTACTTTGAAAAATATACCTACCATGGCATTGTCTTCCAAATGCAAAACACTTATAATTTGATAGATTTTACAAAGTTAAATACTATAATTTGGTAGATTTTATAAAATAAATCTCTATAAGTGGGTATATTTTATGAAATACAATGCCTTAATAAGAAAATAAAGTTCATGTAATTTGATGATGGAATGTTGTTCCATTCTTTACCTTTTTAATTTCTATCGTAGACTGTTATGAAAATCAATCAAATACGAAATTTAACAATAGAAACATAAATCAAACGGATTTACATATAAAAAATTCACAATTCAGAATACATACTTGTATGTTGATATCTACAACAAATCTATAAACCAGGGTTGGTTCCACTATGGCTGCAACCCTTTTTTTTTTCAGACGCAGTGTAAAATTTTTCATTTTTTCTATTATTATTACTACGTAAAAAAAATTGTGTCACCAGCAGCATCTACTTGTGTCCGCCACTGCTATAAGCACGAAAATAAGTAGTTTCAGGCCTGCGAATTAAAGTGTCCCAAGGCGGTAATTAACCCGGTATGGTTTCTGTCTTGAGGATACAACAATCACTTCAATAATAGATCTTGAATATGTCGAAAATCACCATGCTCCTATGTAATATCAAGAACAATTTTAAGAGAATGTGTATGTGTGTGTGTTTCATTAGTGGTGGTTGTAAACAATCAACCGAAATTAACTGCCATAAATTATCATTCAATTAATTCTCTAATTAACAAAAATTTACTAACTGAAAATTTAATAAATAATCAATTCAAGAAGATCCTCAAGGCCCAAGGCCCTATATTTGATTATTAATATACTAGTTGAATTCTCGTACCTTGCATTTGAATAAAAATATTTAATTAAAGTAATATCATTTAACAAATTGTGAGTTAATATTTATATATGTAAAACGAATGCAAATAGCAAAACAAACTCTATAGTTAACATATTAGTTTTATTAATTTTAATTAATTTATATTATCAGTTATTTCCATTATTAATTCATGATTTTATAGACCGTTTTATGTTGTGTAAATTATATATCAAACATATATTGATTTCTATGTATAAAAAACAAATTAGTATGAAAAAATAAATACTACAACTTTTGATGATATATAAAACGTTTTAAGTTGTGAAAATTATATATAAAACGTATACCGATTTGTATCTAAAACAAATAACAAATAGTATGAAAAGCACTATAGCTTTTAATAAAATAAAAAACAGTACAACATTATAACATTTATATCAAACAAAACTTATTAATCATCCGCACTTATTATTTTTTATTTAGTTAGCTTTTTTATACGGTGATATTTTAAATTTTTTGACAGTTTAAAATAATAATTTCTTTGAAATAACTAACACAAAACTAAAAAAATACATTACAAACCTATTTATTTTGTCTATTAAACTAATATACTTTAGGTTTTATAGTGAACAAAAATGATATATGAATCACATAACAAAAAACATGTTGCTCAAACTTTGGGTTTTTATCATTAAATTAAATGTATAGTATTTTTAAATTAATTAATTAAAATGAAATTTAATGTAGTTATTTTAGGTATTTGAGTTATGGACGGATGGTAGAGAGAGGCTTGCAGATGAGTACCGGTATCCAATATTTCGTCCGTATAAAATGGAACGCCGGCAGCCTTTACCAAATAGCAATCCATCAAACAAAGTCTGTTAATTTTCATCGTAATTAGGGCTTCTGCCACCACAAATCTCTCTCTCCATGGAGATTTCGCCATGGAGCCTTTGACTTTCCTTTCTTTCTCTTGCCTTCATTTCCTTTCGTCTTCTACTCGTATATACCACCTGTATAATCTTCAATGAGGTCAGATCTATTTTTTCATTTTTCTTCGCAAAAACTAGATTCTTCGTCATCCTCAGGATAATAATCATACCCCCTAATCTAATCTAATCCCAATTTCGATTCTTTTTCAGATTCTCGTCTAATCCGCCTCTTTTTCGTTTTTGTTTCTCCCCCCCTACAAAAACTCAGCTATTTCCATTCAACTATTGGTTTATTTTTGTTAACAAGTTGGCTGGTAATAATATCGGATTATAGTTTTGGGGGGTTTTTTCTTTGTTTCCACCGTTTCTAGGAACTATGGCTGATGATTTTTTATGCGATCCTAAAGTTTATAGTCCAGATTATTTGCTTTCTTCATTGAAGATCGGTGATTGGTACCGAATGGATGATTATACAGATAACAGTTTCGATTTCGATGGTTTTGATGATGATTTGAATTTGAATTGGGAATGGAAGAAGGAGGATGTTCTCGATATGCTGCCTTCTGATCCTTTTGAGATGAACATAAGCGGTGGGTGTACGATGATTAGGGGGTGGATTCAAGAGGTTGATGAAGATATCGGATATATCAAAATCTCAGAAAAATCAATCGCCGATGAGATCAATTTAGATGATACACGTACAACAAATGGGTTGTTTTTTTTTAATGGAAGTAAGGAATCTAAAGTCTTGCATTCATTCAACAAGAACACAAATCGTTGTCAAAGCGATGGGAAAGATGATATCCATGTTGGTGTTCCTCACGATGCTTTATTTTTCGCTCTTGGTCATTTAGGAATGAGGGATTTGATGTCTGTTGAAAGGGTTTGTAAATCTTTACGTGATGGTGTTCGTAATGATCCTTTGTTATGGAGAAATATACATATCGATCAACAACCAGGCGAATCATTTGCTGATGAATCTCTTTTAAGAATTACAAATCGAGCAAGTGGTAGTCTTCAATCATTGAGTCTTGTAAAGTGTTTGAAAATCACAGATAATGGTCTCAAGAATGTCATCCAACAAAATCCAGGGTTAACAAAGGTATGTATTTGTATCAAATCATATATGCATTTAGGGTGTGTTCTTAACTTCTTATGTGTGGTAGTGATTAGAAAGCAATTTCCTTTTTTGGATTATTTAGGTTCAAGTAATCAATTTCATGTTAGTTATAACTATACTTCTCATCAAGGTGTAAAATAAAAGTACTTGTATACCTTTATTTTACCTTTTTCCTATTTGATCAAAACTTGTCAAACACTCAAAACCATCAATAAACTCTTTCAAACACTATCTCTTGTAATACGTTTTATTACAAATTTACAATTTTAAGGAAGTAAATTTGTAATATTCTTGTGCTACATGAAGTTGTAATTATCACTTTTGATGATGTTGAGTTTTTCGAGTTTCTTGACTTATATAAGGAAGTAAATTTATAACATAAAGGTGTATAAGGTCATATTTCTTTTTGGCTTAATACATACAGAAGGGTAAAATGGTCATTTACTCAGATTCAGATAGTTCATTCGGTCAAAAAAAAAGAAAGTCTTTTAGACTTTAATAATAGTTAAACCTAGTGTTAGTTGGCCCTTATCACTTTCAAAAAGCACATACAGAAGGGTAAAATGGTCATTTTTAACTAACATTTTAAAAATGGTGAACGCAGTTAAGTTTACTGGGATGTAACGGGCTAACTATGGAAGGGCTTTTAAGTAATTTAAAGTCTTTGAAGACAACCAATGGAGGTGGAATAAAGCGTTTAAGAATCGGTGGACTTCACTCCATAACAATGGAGCAATTTGAAGACCTAAAAAAAGTATTATCCATAGATAATAATAAATTTAATAATAATAACAAAAACCACCTCACTTGCCCTAAACCCCGATTCTACAATGGCGGGCAGTTGCACCTTTCACTAGAAGATGACCGCCCGATTGACATCGAGGCCTGCCCGAAATGTCATCAATTGAGACAGGTGTACGATTGTCCAGCCGACACGTGTCAAGGGAAACGTTATTGTTGTAGGGCGTGTACTTTTTGCATTCCTAGATGCATCAATTGTGGATGTTGTTTGAATGAACGCAATTACATGGAGACGTTTTGTTTGGATTTCATTTGTTTTCATTGTTTAAAACAGATTTTGAGTTTCACAAATGGTGGTGAAGATGAAAATATGGGTGTGGATTCAGGGCAATCTGGTCATTATCAACAAGCGAGTTATAGGTTTTGCCTTTATGGCTAGATGAACTGGTTTCTGATTGTTTTTTTGTTCGTGGGTATGTGTTTAAAAGTGAAAACTAGACATCGTTTGAAGAAAATGAGGAAAGAGTTTGTAGAAAGTGTACCTATTTTAGTAGATTCTTGAAAGGGGGTAGATAAGAAACTAGGTGTTTCTTGAAAAAATTGGCAGATTTTCAAGATTGTGTTTGGTGTTTCTTGAAAAATAGGCAAAATTTCAAGATTCTCTTTTGGTGTTTCTTGAAGAAATATGCAGATTTTCAAGGTTCTCTTTTGGTGTTTCTTGAAGGAATAGGCATAAGTTTTCAAGATTCTCTCTTTTGGTGTTTCTTGAAGGAATAGACAGCTTTTCAAGATTATCTTTTCGTGTTTCTTGAAGAAATAGGCAGATTTTCAAGATTCTCTCATGATGTTTCTTGAAGAAATAGGCAGATTTTCAAGATTCTCTTACGGTGTTTCTTGAAAGGAATAGGAAGATTTTCAAGATTCTCTTATGGTGTTTCTTTAAGGAAAATGGCAGATTCTAAAGATTGTCTATGGATATGGTGTTTCTTGAAGAAAATGGTGTGTTTACTACAACTACAAGATTGTGTGTTGGTGATTCTTGAAGAAAAAAGATTTGTAAGTTATTTGCTTGTTTTCTGAATTTTTAATTTTATTTTGTTGGGATTGTTTCTGTTTATTTAATATTGTGAAAGATAGGATCCACAACATGAAAAGATAACCGACCCTTGACCATGTAATGGTCTATAGATGTGTAAGATTTGATGCATGTAATGGTTATAAACATATGTAATGTAATGCACGCATTTTCCAATTTAATAAATGCCCATAAAAATGTATTTTGTTAGTTCCATTTTTATATGTAATTTGATGATACTTGTTATGAAAATTGTTACATTAAACTATGTCAACCTCATTTGAATAAGAGAAATTAAATATCCTCCTATCCTTTTGTTCCTATATATCATCATACTTAATTAAATGGTGATATGTGTAACATTTAATGCTTATTTAATAAAATTTAATGATATTTTAAGATACTAATATCACAAATGTAACCATTTAATTGTTTTTTAGTAGGTTGTTATGTTGGTTTGGTTTGGTTTGCTATAAATATGTAATTTGTGTAGTGATTATCTATAAAGATTTTCTTAAAAAGCGACAATTATTTATTTACAAATAAAGGAGTTATTTTAATGTTCTTAAAATAAAAATGTGAACTTTTAAATACAAACTATTTTTGGAAGGTAGAGATGCTAGATTTTCTAAGTGCTTTGAATAACGTATACAATACGTATACACACATTAACAACTCTAAAAGCATACACAAAAAAAAATGTTGTCATATATATCTTATAACAATTCCTAAAGGTTACATGTTAGCGGAATCTTTATGCTAAAAATCTCGATGTAAGTGGTTATTTTTTTGGCAACTATCATAAACTTGGTTTGTGGCTGATTGCTCATTATCATATAGGTGTTGTATTTCATTTTCTTATTCTTGAGCGTATCTATATGTATAGAACTAATTTAGGGATCATACACGTTATAAAATGATATGCACTTATCCTATGAAACAGTGATTAGGACGTAGAGATAAGGGTCTTTATGACAAATATTAATAATAATACTAATTTGCAAAATAATAAAAATAGGTATATAAAGAGACTCCGAAAATGGAGGTGCGATCCGGGTTGGAGGATTTATGGGACCTAATGTTTTAATAATAATAAAAATAAAGTATGTATAATAATTAAATATATAAAATATGTAGTAAGGAAAAAAAAAAGTTTTTTAGGTCTCATTGGCACAAATCGTAACGAACAATATCATGTAGATGGTCCGAGTTTAAAAGAAAAAATAGTGGACCAAGCTAGAGATTATAGGGAACATTCTTGAATTTTATTATAGTTTTTTTTTTTTTACCAATATAGTCTATGCCCATGGCACACGTAAATGCATTTGGTCAAAAGTCTTCCACACAAAGACTTTAAAGTCAACTAAGTAAACCCCAAAATAACACTTACACACGAAAAAAGGGGCCATGATTGATGCATTGAGCTTCTTTCTTATGGAATTTTTCATGCAACTTCTCCCGGAGGGGTTATGTCCGGGAATCCCAAGAAGTAGGAATTACCGTTTTAACTTTTTTGGGTTGCATCTACAAACTTGGTTCTGACTGATATAACTCTTCATTGGATTTCCTTTTATTATTATTGGGCATATGTATAGAATGAATTTAGGGACAAACATATTATAAAATGATATGTACTTATCCCTTTGGGAGGGTGATTAGGAAGCATGACATAAGGGTCTTTATTACATAATTAATAATTCGTTTTATTTTTAGTTAGGCTTTGTTCTCTTCTTTAAAAGATATTACTTTTCTGGTAGCTCAACACATGTAATCTCTACCCACTTTTATGCATTTATAGCACAACCGATAAATGGATAAAAATCACATTTGTAATCATTTTATCTTATAAATTGAAATCAATGAATATTCATCGTTTATCAATAGATTAGGTGATGATAATAAAATTTTCAAAAATACATAAAACTAAAACATTGATTGAAAAGATTGTATATGTTATTTAGGTCTTTTTGGCACAAATCGTAACAAACAATATCACATGGATGGTTTGAGTTTAAAAGAAAAAATAATGGACAAAGCTATAGATTACTTTAAACCATAGGGAACATTCTTGAATTTTATTATAGTTTTTTTTTACCAATATTTCTAAAACTTTTTTTTTTTTGACATTTGACGGATTAGTGTTATTGAATTAGAATACTTTTGAGTTTTGAGTATAGTTTATGCCCATGGCACACGTAAATGCATTTGGTTAAAAGTCTTCCACACAAAGACTTTGAAGTCAACTAAGTAAACCTTAAAATAACACTCACACACGAAAAAAGGTGCCATGATTGATGCACTGAGCTTCTTTCTTATGGAATTTTTCATGCAACTTCTCCGAGAAGGGTTGTGTCCGGCAATTCCAAAAAGTAGGAATTACCGTTTTAACCTTTTTGGGTTGCATTTACAAACTTGGTTCTAACTGATATAACTCTTCATTGTATTTCCTTTTATTATTGTTGGGCATATGTATAGAATGAATTTAGGGACAAACATATTATAAAATGAAGGGTAAATTACATGAATGGTCCCTATGGTTTGGGGTAATTTGCGCGCTTGGTCCCTAACTTAATTTTTTAACTCGGAAAATCTCTACTGTTTGTTTTTGTTACGCGCTTGGTCCCTACTTTTTGTTTTTGTTACGCGATTGGTCCCTATCTTACCTAAAAAACTATTATTTAAATGGGAAAAAATGATAGGATAGGTAAAGTAAGGTAATGGGGGTTGGGGTTAGGGTGTGTTTATTTAGATATTTTAAAAAATCAAGGGAAAAATAGGTTTTTTAGGTAACATAGTGTAACAAAAACAAACAGTAGGGACCTTCCGAGTTAAAAAGATAAATTAGAGACCAAACGCGTAAATTATCCTAAACCATAAGGACCATTCGTGTAATTTACTCTAAAATGAAATGTACTTATCCCTTTGGAAGGGTGATTAGGAAGCACGACATAAGGGTCTTTATTACATAATTAATAATTCGTTTTATTTTTAGTTAGGTTTTGTTATCTTCTTTAAGGGATATTACTTTTTTGGTAGCTCAACACATCTAATCTCTACCAACTTTTATGCATTTATAGCACAACCGATAAATGGATAAAAATTACATTTGTAATCATTTTATCTTATAAATTGAAATTCGTGAATATTCATCGTTTATCAATAGATTAGGTGATGATAATAAAATTTTCAAAAATACATAAAACTAAAATCTTGATTGAAAAGATTGTATATGTTTTTTAGGTCTTTTTGGCACAAATCGTAACAAACAATATCACATGGATGGTTTGAGTTTAAAGAAAAAATAATGGACCAAGCTATAGATTACTTTAAACCATAGGGACATTCTTGAATTTTATTATAGTTTTTTTTACCAATATTTCTTAAACTTTTTTTTTTTTTGACATTTGACGAATTAGTGTTATTGAATTAGAATATTTTTGAGTTTTGAGTATAGTCTATGCCCATGACAAACGTAAATGCATTTAGTCAAAAGTCTTTCACAAAAAGACTTTGAAGTCAACTAAGTAAACCCCAAAATAATACTCACACACGAAAAAAAGGGCCATGATTGATGCACTGAGCTTCTTTCTTATGGAATTTTTCATGCAACTTCTCACAGAGGGGTTTTGTTCGGCAATTCCAAAAAGTAGGAATTACCGTTTTAACCTTTTTGGGTTGCATCTACAAACTTGGTTCTGATTGATATAACTCTTCATTGTATTTCCTTTTATTATTGTTGGGCATATGTATATGTATAGAATGAATTTAGAGACAAACATATTATAAAATGAAATGTACTTATCCCTTTGGGAGGGTGATTAGGAAGCATGACATAAAGGTTTTTATTACATAATTAATAATTCATTATATTTTTAGTTAGGTTTTGTTCTCTTCTTTAAAGGATATTACTTTTTTGGTAGCTCAACACATGTAATCTTTACCCACTTTTATGCATTTATAACACAACCGATAAATGGATAAAAATTACATTTGTAATCATTTTATCTTATAAATTGAAATCAATGAATATTCATCGTTTATCAATAGATTGGGTGATGATAATAAAATTTTCAAATATACATAAAACTAAATCCTTGATTGAAAAGATTGTATATGTTGATTGAAGTTTTTCAAATTTTTTTTTTTGCATTTATTTGTTTTAATTATTTCATATGCTTATACGAACGTCACTCAGAATATGTAAACATAACGAACTGATCAATGTCAATAAAAGCTTTTAAAAGTTGGTCACAAAATCATTTAATTTGGATATTACAATAAAGGAAAATATCTATGAAATTGGTTACGTGTTGAACTCATATTCTAGAAAATACTCTTCATTTCTTTATTTTATTTTTTGTCGAGCATGTTGGTCATCAATTTTGACATCTGGTTTATTGAGTTAACATGTGTTATTAGACTTTATATCCTTACTTATTTTTTGTATTTGTATTTCACGCATTTGATTTAAAAAAAAAAAAAAAAAAAAAAAAAAAAAAAAAAAAAAAAAAAAAAAAAGTTTACCTTGAGGCTTGTGACATACAAAATTAAGAAGAGATGAAGAGTTATGATTTCTAATATATTTTGTGGTCGGTTTAGATTATAATTTGTGGATTTTTACATTAGATAAATAATTTAGCATTTAGTGTTTGGTTAAATTTCAAATTTGTGATATTATACATGAGTTATACGGTAATCATAGGCCAATATGTATTCGTAGGGAACATTATAATTCGGTTTATACATGAGTTATGATTTCTAATATATTTTGTGGTCGGTTTAGACTATAATTCGTGGATTTTTACATTAGATAAATAATTTAGCATTTAGTGTTTGGTTAAATTTCAAATTTGTGATATTATCGTAGGGAACATTATGATCGCCATTTCAGTGTCAGTATAATTATTATTAACTCAGAGATAAGTTGAGTTCAACTTTAGCTATAATGCAAGTTTGAAGATGCAGAATGTACCACCGAATAAGCTAAATTAATCTCAAAAACATTTGATCAAATACAAGTGCCTATGATCGGGTTCTAAGGGGCATCACCCTGATGGAGTCCAATGGGCAATGCCCCGGATGTTAGTGTTAGTGACGAAGCTTATAGGGGGCAGGTGGATTTTGCCCCAACCGCCACCCCCGAATTAATATATTTTAACTGCACTAAAAGTTCACAACTAACTAACCCTTAAAACCTATCCTCAATTTTAAGTATTTCTTGTTCTAAAAATTAATATCTATTTACTCCATTTTATTCTAAAATTTTGGTTCTGATGGTAAATGATGGCTGACATTAACAGGTGGTGGTGATAGTGTGACCTATGTATATTCATATATTTCTTTTATTAACAAATAACAACAAAATAATAAAAGAAAATGAAAATGAAAAAAATATAAATAGCAATATAGGTTTTTTTTATGTCTATAAGAGACCAAAAATACAACAAAATCAAACAGTATAAACAATCCGAATGTAAAAAAAAGAAATTAGAAACTTAATGTATATTTTTTACAAACTAAGATGATTTCAACGATTCGTTTTAACATGTTTATTTTGGACTAACTAAATTAATTTTCATCATTTCATTATGATGTAAGATATGCATTCCGACTGATTCATTTCTATTTTGTGTATGTGAAAAAAAAAAAAAAAAAAAAAAACGATGCTTCATGCCCTCTATCATATTATCTTCAACTTATAGTCATAAAATATGATAATATTAATGTGTTAATCTTACTCCAAATTAATGTAGAAACCATGTGTGAAAACTTTCATTCTTCATTATCATGACCAGCATGGATCAATACAAAGGCAAATATAGTAATAAAGGGGTTTAAGTAACGGTGTTATGGATATTTTTAGTTATTAATATAGATATTATAAGATATAAGTGTTTGAAATTAATAACAAATAAAATATAAAATAAATCAGATTTTTGGATTTCATATTTTAGAAATATCTTAAATTTTACAAAATCACTATATGAATGTAAATCCAAAAAATCGGAATATCGAAAATTTTGAGATAATTTGGGGTTGGATTTTCGGGTCGAATGGGTAGCCTTGTGGGGTTTAGATAGGGGAAACCAGCATCCCAAACTCTTTCATTGGTATACACATTTAATGAATATGCTTCCCAAACTCTTTCATTGGTATACACATTTAATGAATATGCTTATATAAAAATAATAGGTATTTAAAATCTGAATGAAAGTAATCTCTTTTGCATTTAATCTGTCTTTATATTAGATAACGTAACATTTTTTTTTCACGAACGTATTCCAAGGGGTGTAAATGCTTTCATACATAATTTCAGGGTCTTAAATGTATTATCAACATAACCAGGGGGAGTAATCTGAAGTTTCCGATATTCGGTAAACACGCAGGAGTGGTCTTCATCTGGAGCGAAGTTCGCGGTTTATACTCGCTTCAAAACATCCACAGCTCCGCCTTTCACTGCCATCGTTAACAGCCGCTGAATTCTCCTCCTATATGTACCTAAGCATTAGCCCTACGTTGTAAAACACCATCTCTGCCATTACTACTACGTTTCTCTTCTTACATTCTTTCAGTTCCTGAATCAGCTGTAAGCATGGCCAAGATTAAGATTGGAATCAACGGTTAGTTTTTGATCGATAAACGTTCTCTATTGCTTATTTACTTTTGATCGATACTGTTTGATTTGTCTTCGTGCAATTTTTTCATTCGTTCTGGTTTTGCTTCGTATCAGGATTCGGAAGAATCGGCCGTTTGGTGGCCAGAGTTGCTCTACAGAGCGATGATGTTGAACTCGTCGCCGTTAATGATCCTTTCATCACTACCGATTACATGGTGCATTTCTCAATCCTGTACTAAATTTTTCGCTCGTTTCTATTTTATGCTGTTCGAATTTTGCAGTTGATCGCTCATCTTCCTTTTGATCCGATGATTTAATGTTTATTCGATTATAAGGTCGCCTGATTATAATATGGTTTTGATTTGTACTTACTATCGATCGCAATCTGGTCTGGATTATACATTTGAACATCCTGTAAACGGATAACCTCTGATTTTGAAAATTCAAACGCAGTTTTTGAATTGATAACTCGATTTTACAGTTTCAGAAGTAAATCGTTTAACATTTATAAAGAGATTGTAGTTTTGATGGAGGTTGTGTATCATTATTTCGCTAGAACATTCAGTGATAGCATTTGATTTGGTATGTTAATTCAAATTAACTTTGGAAACCAAAGAATCCATAATTGCTACAATCAAACGATGCGGAAGCTAAACAAGGCATGTAGTTTAGAATGTGAAGATGATGAATAATTGAATCATAACTCTTGTGAATATCATTTCTCCAGATTTACATGTTCAAATACGACAGTGTTCATGGCCCATGGAAAAAGCACGAGGTCAAAGTCAAAGATTCCAAGACTCTTCTCATTGGCGAAAAGCCTATCACCGTTTTTGGCATGAAGTATCATTTCTCATTCTCCATCCTTACACCTCACCTAACACAACACCAAATCACATTCCTAACCTTCCTCAATTGATTACAGAAACCCAGAAGAGATCCCATGGGGTGAAGCTGGAGCTGAATATGTCGTTGAATCCACTGGTGTTTTCACTGATAAGGACAAAGCTGCTGCTCATTTGAAGGCATATATTATTCAATATCCATTCCATAATCTTTTCAATCCTAAATTCCTACAAGTGAACCATATAATTACTCAACGTTTGCTTTGGTTTCATATTAGGGAGGTGCAAAGAAGGTTGTGATTTCTGCTCCAAGTGCAAATGCTCCCATGTTTGTCATGGGTGTCAATGAGAAAGAATACAAGTCTGACATCACCATTGTTTCTAATGCTAGCTGCACAACTAACTGTCTTGCTCCACTTGCAAAGGTCAAATCCGTCAAAATGTCAAACAATTTCAACATTCTTCTGGTTCCTGATGTAAAAACTGCTCCTCAAACCTTTTTTAAACAGGTTATTAATGACAAATTTGGTATTGTTGAAGGCCTTATGACCACTGTTCACTCCATCACAGGTCAGTGTATACTTTTTATATAACATAGAATAATGTTGAATTATTATTATTATTATTATTTTTTTAAATAGTCTTGTATATGAATATGACTCAGCAACCCAGAAGACTGTTGATGGTCCATCAATGAAAGATTGGAGAGGTGGAAGAGCTGCTTCTTTCAACATCATTCCCAGCAGCACTGGAGCTGCCAAGGTATGTCAAAATCTCAACATATTTTTTTTATCAGTTATAATAGTTAAACCTTATTTCTCCTCTTGAGTTAAAAAAGGAAAACTGATAAATATTTTTGTTGTTTTTTGAAGGCTGTGGGAAAAGTTCTTCCCGCGCTCAATGGAAAACTTACGGGCATGGCTTTCCGTGTTCCTACTGTCGATGTGTCAGTGGTTGATCTTACTGCCAGGCTAGAAAAGCCTGCCTCCTATGACGAAATCAAGGCTGCTATTAAGTAAATAAAAAAAATTACTATTTTTTTTTTAATTTAATAAATTTACAAATGATGTAAAGTAATTAATTATTTAACTTTAAATTTTTAGGGCCGAAGCTGAAGGAAGCTTGAAGGGAATCTTGGGTTACACTGAGGATGATGTTGTGTCGACAGACTTCGTGGGCGACCAAAGGTAAAAAAGAAAAAGGTCATTTTGGTCATTTTACTAGCAGTGTTAGAGTTTCATTTCCAATGTTGATTAGACTGATTTCTCTGTGTGTTGTGAATGGAAAAAGGTCGAGCATATTTGATGCGAAGGCTGGAATTGCACTGAACAACAACTTTGTTAAGGTTGTGTCTTGGTATGATAATGAATGGGGATATAGGTATGATTTTTGGTGCTTTTACTTTTTATTTTATATAATTTGATTTTTGAAAAATGAAAATTGATATTTTTTTTTTTTTTTGAAAAATTGTTTGTTTTGTAGCAACCGAGTTGTTGATTTGATCCGTCATATGTCCAAGTCTTAGATGGGTCGGGTTGCAGTTGGAGATTGGAAATGCATATGCGAGGGATTGATTTGGCTCCATTGTTGTGGAGTTTTTAGGGAATAATTTGAGTTTTCATGTCATGTAACGATGAACTCTCTTCTTTTGAGTTCTTTTTCACAATTTTGAGTAAAAATCAGGGGTTTTGTTTTGGTGTCTCTATTATAAACAATATTCAAAAAGTTATACCCTTTTTGTTAAGAAAAAATAATTAAATCTTTCACTTCACACGTAAATCCCAAAAAGATAATATGTGGAGTCATCTTCCTTACGTTTTATCCTTAATACATATTTTCAAGTTAAATATTATTATACCCATCTTTGAGAAACAAAATTCTGAAATGGATCAAGAAAAAGTGTCAAATCAATGCACAATTTGAAGTTACGATCAAAATTTGGTTCGATAAAGGATGGATGATTGAAGAAAACCTCTTTAACAACTCATGATTGACGAAGCTCATCCAAGATATTCTTCGTTATTGTTATGTAAGTCGTTCAACACTCAAACAAGATTGATTGCATTAATGTGTGGAAAATTGTTAAAAATGAAATGATTCAAGGTTTTGAAAATTTAGAATAAATTGAAATTGTTAAAAGATATTTTTTCCATTGGCAATGTGTTATGTGATATATAGTTCTAGTAATGTTTCATATGACAGATACATGAAGTTTTGTAACAATGCAAATGCCCATTGCTTAGGTCTAAATTGGGACATACATGCTTAATGGAATTCGACATGCAAAAGTTTGAAACAAAAGATACTTTAAAAACATTTCGCAATCACCTTGTCAAAAGTCATAGAGTAATGCCATATCCAGAGTCGTTGGTTACTTAATAGACAATCAACTGAAATCCCTTAGAGTTCTTAAACATACAAGATACAACTACTTATTCATTTAGAAGTTTATTATCCTACAAGTTGTTTAGTACTTAACCAAATCCTTTTTTAATATGTTCAAAATTAAATGAGTTTGAAATGAAAAATATTATATTTTCTAAATGATAAAACCACGAAAGCTAGATTTGTAAATAATTTATAGAAGTATTCATGCTATTTATTACTTATGCCCCAGATTGAACCCAACAATAGAAGTTGGCATAGTTGAAACTTTAATTATGGTTTGGGTTTTTGCGACAACGACATGGAAAGAATTACTTAAGTCAAATAACAAACACATGAGAAAGAATTAACTGAATGGAATTGTAGGTCCCCTTACCTTTAGCAAACAACTACACAATATCATTTAGTCGATCGCTATCATTGATCACTAAACTAATCAATGATTTTACAAACGACTACCACAACAACAATGATGCCAATGTTTTTTGTTTTTAAGACTTGAGCACTAATATCGAAAAAAAAAAAAGTAATTTTTTATGAACATATTAAAAATGTCGGTTTGGTTTTTGATCCGATCCAACACATTTCCTATATGTTAATTTTTTTTCCATTTGAATCCGGTTTGAGTTGCGTAGTGGAATCTGACAAGGCCAATCAAACGAGAGAAGATTTATGTAAACACAGACACAGTTACATTACAACTTACAAAGGTGATAGAAGATTTATGTAAGCAAACCAATGTTGATTGATGGATAGTGTACTAACGAAAGCAAATTGTCTTCCAATTTCACATTTTGAACAAATGAAGAATAACCAAGGAGTTCAAATTTCAAAATGATCATTGACTACTAATAGGAACTGTATTATAACATCATTTCTATATGAATTTCATCAGCCTGTAAACATAAAACAATCAAAAAGAACAGCAAAAAGTTCGTGATTCACCTTGGTTATTCTCTCAAAAGATGACACAACAATGTCTTGAAAAGATATGCTAAAATCTGCAAGAGAATGATAGAAACTCAACATGGAGATGTACACAATAAACTAAAAAGAAGCAAAGTTGGAATAATTTACCTGTTTAGCGAGAAGGATTAAGCCCTAGAAGCATCTGGCTCCCTGTGTTTGGAAGATACATGACATTGTTACTCCTAGCCAAAGTTGCAGAAATCTCCCTCGATGCTTCAATTCTCCTAAGCTCGATCAATCCCATTCCAGCAGCAGAAGTGGCATCAGAAATCAATTTCGCAGACTCACTCTCACCTTCAGCCCTAATAATCGCCGCCCGTCGTTCCTGCTCGGATTTCGCCACCACAAACTTAGATCTCTCCGCCTCTTGCTGCGCCACCTGTTTCTGCTCCACCGCCTTCGAGAACTCAGCGCCGTAAGACAAGTGAGTGATCGCAACGTCGTCAAGGACGATATTGAAATCCTTAGCCCTGCGGACCAAACTATCACGAACCAAAGCCGAAACCTGTGGACGCTCAGTGAGAAGCTGATCCGCGTTGAATTGAGCAACGACGGACTTTAGAACTTCGTTTCCGATCGACGGAAGAACCTTCTCGTCGTACTCGAGACCTAGGGTTTTAAAAATCGCCGGCAATCGGTTGACTTCGGGGCGTGAGAGGACACGGAGAGTTAGGTTAACCATTTGAAGATCTTTCGTGCCGGATATCGATGAGAATGTGTGAGGCCTGGTGCGTATGTCAAAGATGTACGGGGTCTGAAGCCATGGAATAAGGAAATGAGTGCCTTCCCCAACTGTCTCGTCAATGACTCCACGGAAACGATCGAAGAGAACGGCGCGTTGGCCGCCATCGACGGTGTAGAGGGAGGAATTGACGACGGTGACAGCGGTTCCTAGACCGAAGGCGGCGCGTGCTATATTGGTGAGGAACGACATGGCGGAAGGATTGGTTCCCATTTTTTCCGGCTGAATTTGCAGAAAATCGATAGATGGAAACACAAGGGTTTTAGTCTTCTTTTAGACAGAAATTAATCGAGGGTTTTAGTGGTAACTTTGTGTGTTGTTCAAGTAATTTGGAAATGCAGGCCCAATTGAAACCGGCCCAATTCAAACGGGCTCAATTGCATTATTCAAAACTCAAAAGTGTAGTTTTGAATTAGGGAATACTAGATTATAGCCCGCGTTAAACGCGGGAAATACATAAAAAAAAAAAAAAACATATAATCGTTTATAGATATCGTATAATGATTATTAAAAAAATATATGGTTATTGGTATTATTGAAATATGTAGAAAATACATTGAAAACGATAAATATATATAATCATTGAAAGATCTCTTTGTAGGCATCATTTTTTTGTTTTATTAGTTGAACGATTTTCCTCGTCTTATATAGTTATAATATTTATATATTTATAAGCATTTTAATTAGACGTTCATTGCATAATAATGTTAACTAATTTAAACATATATTGACAATCAATATACCGTTTTTTCTATTGCATTAAATATTAACAACTATTTCATTTATTCAAATAAAGTTATGTAATATAATTTATAAAATGTTAAATGTTATATAGATTTAATTTTAGTATATCATCAATGGAGATTCTTTTCTAAATGTTATATAGATTTAATTTGAAGAAAAGAAACGATTGAAAATAAATGTGAGTCGCGGATTCAATGATGAATCGTATATGTATGTGATGATTTGAATATGATTTTTCGGTATAAATGATTTCCTAATAAAAAAAGATTTTATATTACTGGTTTACTAATATAAATGGATTTATATTAATGGTTGATATTAAGGTCTTATTTGAAATGATTTGTTAGTAATATATTTTTAAAATTGATCATATTAAAATCTTCATAACTGAAAATTCAAGATGTAAAATATGGAAAGTTTTTATTGGAATTAAATAAACTCCATTTCAACGAATGTAAGTTATTGATTGATGATTGAAAATCATTTATTGGAATTAAATACATTCCATATGGGGAAGATGATGTCAGCAATTTGATCTAAGGATGGAAAAAATAAGATTGAAATACAATCAATGATCCAGATTATTTAAGATGATGTCATAAAGTTTCTCTTTTAGTAATATTTAAGATTGTAGTTTTTATATAATGTTACATATGCATTTCAAATAAACCCATGTCACAAATATGTTTGATGCATTTACTTGTTCAATGCCCACCATAAATATTGTAATGCATTATCAATCATAGAATTCGATTTATCTAAGTAATTGGTTTCCAAAACAATTTATCATTGCCATTACATTACAAGTTCTTTTAAAGAAGTTTCTTTTTTGAAAATGACTAATTTTAATCATTTTATTTTGTTGGAAACGATGTTAAATATTATAAAGTTCTATATGTGATTTTAAAAAACAAAATATAATAAATATTTTTGTTTATTATATATCACAAAAATAATTTATCATTCAAAAAGTGAATGGATAAATTAATCAAAAAAATCCCAAATCCTTCACGGTCACTGGAGCGAAGGATATGGTATTCCCCAATCTACTTGCATTATCAGACTGTCATGCAACCCCCACCCTACTAAGGATGTTAAAAAGTTTCGTGGGACCTAGTTTCCGCAGAGGGGTCCAGTCCCGTTTGGGAGATTTTTAAAAAAAAAATTGGGGATGGAGACGGGGGCAAGGTTAACCTCCGTTTTATTTTCGGGGGTGGGGGCAGGGGTATAAAATCCCGTCCTGAAACCTCCATGGGGACCCCGTTAATAAATTACACATATATTTACATATATTAATTATATAAATATAATAAAAAGTAACATAATTTTGAACTTCCAAAATTAATCAAAAAACATGTTTTTAAGTTGTTAGTATAATGTTTTTAAGATGTCATAACTTTTTTATTTTTAACATGTAAAATTATGCTATAAATAATTATTTGTTACCTAAAAAATAGATTTTCTTAGCATAAAAAACAATTTCTTTTAGCCCAAAAAAAGACATCCCAAAATCAATTGGAAGCGGGGGAACAGGGTGGGGGTAATAAAACGGATTTGGGGACGGATGGGGGTAAGAAGGATGAACATTTCGCAGGCATGGGTGGGGACAGGGAACGAGAAAATTTCGGAGGCAAGGGTGGGGGATGCACTCTCCGTCCCGTTTGTTTCCGTTGACATCCCTACACCTTACTGCATGGTTGGGTGGGTACTCCTTGTTGCCTTTATTATTAAGTTTATTAAATTAAAAAGAAATAATACACACGTCCTCTAATTAAGTATTTCATAAATGTAATTGAGACCATGTACCCACTCTTTATAAATTAGTGCTGAGTTACAAGATGTACTCAACAAACTCACAGTATACCTTTTAAGTGTCGATGGCATCAAAAAAACAAATACTCTCATTTTGGGATAATGACTTGAAA